ACTGGACCTCTTGCTCTTTAAAATCTGTCTGTGGGACTCCCAAACCTTAAAGGAACATGCACAGAGCTTATGCGTTTATAGTCATGACTTTCTTTTGTGTAGGACAGGTCTGTGGTATGATCCTATTTGTGTCTGCAGACTAGTGATTTTACCTGAGCTGAGCCTGTTCCTCTCTCTTCTTTAGAGGCTAAGGCTTTTTTTGTTTTACTGAGGTGCATTTGTAAACAATGGGAAGGACAACCACAATCCTGATTAAAATAGAAGGATTCTGCAGCAAACTTGCATGGCAACAAAGGAATTCAAGTGATGATTCACAAGGCCCCACTTAGATCCTTTGATTTCATTATTATTTCAACTCTGCCTTCACCCATTTCTATTACATTTCCAGTCCCCATCTCCCCCTGCAACAGCAGCTGCCGGAGCTGTCTTCTCTCATGTGCTGGGACCAACACCACTACATGAACACCGCAAACAGCATAGAGTTGAAATGACACACGTGGCTGATGGGAAATTTTATATGCTGTGTTCTACACTGAACTTGAGCTGTTCAGTGTTAAAATTTCTGTGGTCAGCGAAATCCTAGAACCTCTTAAGACAATGACCTGGCAAATTGGTTACAAAGTAAGAACAGCAGCATATATAGATGAAGTGGGTGGCAGTATGGTCCAGTGGATAGGGACAGGATAGGAAGTCGGGAAACCTGGACTCTGACTCACTGTGTAACCTGGAATGATTCACTGTAGCCTCTTTGCGCACCAGTTTCTCCATCTGCCTTTGAGTTCTACAAATGAAAAGTCCTTATCTAAGTGCAAATTTATTATCGGCAACACATTCACTGCTGTTCAACCAGCACATGATCTTGTGTATGGATTAGGATGGATCTGGGGGAATCCCTTATAGAAAATCAATAGATTTGTGAATTCAGTAATGCCATTAGTATTTTTACCACATATGAGACAGGTCATTTGATGGAACAGTTACATTTAATGTGAGTAAAAATAATTTTGATCTATATTCCTGGGGGTGGAGGGAGAGAAGGCAAAAACTGTTTTGTTTTTCTTTTAAACAAACTTCTTTAAGCCTTCTAAGATTGCTAAGAAAACCTGGCCCATTGCAGGATACTAAATAATCCTCCCCTGTGTATAAAGGACTCAACTAGAGAGAGGCTAGTCTGTTTAAATCCTGATGTTGATGTATAATGAAAAGTTGATGCACAAGTGAATCAAAGGAGAGATTTTAAAAAAAATACAGGAGAAAACTGAACAATAAAAAGCTGCTGATCAGTAGAATTAGGGGAGGATCAAAGACTATTCAAGCAGACTAAGGTTTAGCCTGCAGTGGAGACTTCCTCAGACATAAGTCCCAATTTAATCATCAAAACAGGGTTTAAGTGGAGCATATATTTTGTGCTGGCCTTCTGCACAGGGATGAATGCCAGCCAATGAGTTTTTGTGGGTTAAAAGTGGTGGGGTAAAACTAGAAGGCAGTGGGTCAAATTCTGCCTTCACTTACACCCCTGCTGACTTCAGAGAGGTTGGATGGGCATAAAAGAAGGCAAAGCCTGGCGCTCATGCTTGTTCTTGGTGAAAAGGAGGAAGAGGACGATCGCTGTGGGTCCATATTGTTTTGCATGCTATCTGCCTTCATGATCATCTTTATGATAAATCGACTCTTCCAGTAGACAGATTTGTCATGCATGATTTATCCCTCAGCTGCTTCATGCATTTTCAAGCACTTCTTAAAATCAGCCAGTGTTTACACTTATTTTTGTTCCTTTTTGCCCTGTTTAACTAGTGCTGGTCAAGCACTACCAGTTCTGATCAGACGATATCCTAAAGAGCTAGCCTGTCAGTTACTGAAGCCCTCTTCCCTAGGAGGTGGTTTGTTTTAAATTGGTACAAGGGTCACTTGCGTAACTTACAAACCTAGTAGTGACACAGACCTTGTAGCTAGCTATTTATCTGAATGCCCCTTTCCCCCCCGGTAACACAGCCCCATAGACCCATCTGCTTGTCTAGTAATCTTTTAGAATTCTTTTGGCCTGTGTCATAGTGATGCTGGAACCTCCTCAAGAAATAGTCATTTGGTCAGATCTCTTAACCAGGACTTCATGCAAAACAGCAGGGGGGAAACGGTGGCTTTGGGCCAACTGTCCAGGTGAGCACTATCACCCATCGGTGAATGAAGGTAAATCGTAGGCTTCGCTTAGTCAGGGATTTGGTGTTCAGAATTCCGGGAGTGTGTCTCTTTCCCAGCTCTGCCTTCTGACCTTAGACAAGTCACTCTACCACTCTGGGCTTTTAAATATTGATTTCAGTGGCATTTATTGTGACTGACTGTGTGATTGCACACTTCAATTTGCATCTACAGGCTTTGTGCCAAGACTAGCTTGGTCAGTCGCTGGAAGACTTTCCAAACAACTTGCCTGCCTTGGGACTGCCTGTGCCTTTATGTTGTGAGCTCCCTAGGGCAAAGACTCACAATGTTGACCCTCATTCAATTTGTGAGCCACTCTAACTCCCAGATCCTCTTCAGCAGGACTACCGCCTAGCCAGTGATTCCTCACTTTGGAGTTGTGCTTTTGATTTTTTTTTCCTTCCTAAGTGTAGTATTTTGCATTTATAGTTATTGAATTTCATCTTGTTGATTTCAGAGCAATTCTCCAATTTCTCAATCGCTTTGAATTCTAATCTTGTCCTCCAAAGTGGTTGCAGCCCCTCTCAGCTTGTTGTTGCCTGCAAATTTTATAAGCATGCTCTTCGCTCTATTATCCAAGTCAATAATGAAAATATTGAATAGTATCGGACCCAGGACTGATCCCCTGCAGAACCCTACTAGAAACACCATCCCAGTTTGACAGTGAACCATTGATGATTACTCTTTGAGTACCGTCTTTCACTCAGTTATGCACCCACTTTATAGTAATTTCATCTAGAACACATTTCCCTGGTTTGCTTATGAGAACGTCCTGTGGGACTGCTAAAAGCCTTAATAAAATCAAGATCTATCACACTTAGTGCTTCTTCCCTATCCACTAGGCCAGTACACTAGCAAGTACATATAAGTGCAGACATCAAGATGCAATGTTTACTGGGGTGCCCATCCTGTCCTAGAAATCACTGGGAGCTGTAGTGGATTAAGGGCAGATCCTTACAGTTGGGAGTGGGGCACACATAGGATACACTTGATCCCTCACAGCTGCAGGTGAAGAGGTAGGAGGAGCTGCAAGATTTCAAGTGTTGGCTGCAGGCACCTCATCCTCTTGGATCCACAGAGCAATCCTTTACCTGTCACTGAGCCTGCTTCCAGCTCTGGACCTACATCCTCTCCTAATCCCCATTAAGTAGGAGTTCTCCCAGTTGTGGAGTGGGCCCCCTTTTTTACTCCAAAATATTCAACCCCACATCGCACCCGCAAAAAGCATAATGGGGGGAGGAAAGCAATTTCCTCTTTCTGTGTGTTGGTGTGGCACATGTCAAGCAGAGGAAAATGCATGATTTTTTTCATTCTGCTCTTTGTGGATGCGATGGTCACTCTGTGTGTGTGGTGTTGTACATTTAAAAAAAAACTCAGATTTTATTTATAAGAGAGCTTCATTCCTTTTGTTTGCCTAAATGACTCTGGCATCCTCTTCCTTTGCATGGGCACTGGCTGCCTTTGGAGATCCACATAACCTGAAGACTTTCGATTAAAAGGTGATCAAAGAGGCAATTAGAGGATCTGGCTTATTGGTTTTGTTATATCCTTAACTCTTCCAAAATGCTGCCGCCTCTTTGCTTTGTCACTTCCTCTCAGGGTAGGGGTTTTTTTTTATGCTGCAGCAGAATGAGCTTTAGCTTTGTTCTATTTTTGTTGCTCATAAATACTTGGGCCAAATCCTGCCATCCTTACCAGGGCAAAACTCTCACTGGAAACTCTCACTGGAATCGGAGGGACAGCGTTTAGCCCATGTGGTCTTTTATTTTCTTCAGCAGCTGATCAGTCAGAGCTTCCCAGTTCTCTCTTCTGGCCGTTGACGTCAGATTGGAGGAAACTGGCTGAGTCTCTCTATTGGTATTCAAGTGGGGACCTGTGTCATCTTCCCAGAGCAACAGAGGGGCAGTTAGGGTCCCTTGCTGGGACTTGGGAACTGTACCATCACCTAGGGACAGCTAGTGATGCGTGTGAATTGAGGAGAGGGGGGGGAAATGTATGGGAGGCTTATAGGGGACGGCGCGGTGGAGGGGATAGCTTGGTCAAACGGAAAGACATTTCAGCCCTAAATAAACCAAAATGTGAAAGTTCCTACTTCTTGAGTACTCCTCTTCTGAGGCTCTGCACCAGATCCTCAGGTACATGATCCTCCCCTGAATCATCATGAAGAACAGCACTATTAATTCAGAAAGCTTTTTTTAAAAAGGACCACAAACCACTGGCTGGCTGCTTCCTGTCATTTCTGTGCTATCCATTTGTTGGGAATGAAGACAAATTACTCGAGGATGGGGGGCTTTTCTGCATCGGCTCCTCCATACAAATCTACTGCCCAGCCACGCTGGGGAGGAGTTGGTGGAGGGGACTAAGGGAATCAAATCCCAATTCGGCGTTGAGCGACTTTTGGGGGGTGTGTGTGGGGTGGGGGGGAGGAATTGCTTATTTCTGACGGGAGTGTGTGGGAAGGGGATCGTCGCAGATCTGCTGAATTCCTTAGGGGAGGAATCGGCTCTGCTTTAAGGAGACGCAGGGGCGAAACCCGTTTGCTGACCTAATCCGAACTAGGGAGACAGATCACCGTGTCTCGGGGAGAGAAGAGCAGGCTTTACCGGTCTCTCTCCTGTGGAGAGCCTCGTAAAAGCCTCTCTTGGTGAGGAAGGCTCCCGCTCTGTTTCAGTGGGAGACCCTGGCATGATCGCTCTTGGAGGGAGGGCTGGGCCCGGGGGGGGGACAGTGTCGCAGCCGCATGCTTCCAAACGCTGTCCTTAGCAATTGCCTTTCCCCAGCCTGTGGGGTGGGACGGGGTGGCTGAGGGGCGCTCCTGAGAGTCCCTTCCGCTGGAGAGGGAAGGCTGGGGTGGGAGAGGGAGTTGTATGTATTTGTCTCTCAGGACCGCAGTTCGTGAGCATCTTGATTTGGCGAGACACACACACACACACAGAGTCCCCCGCATCCCAAACTGTCCCAGCCGCTGGGCGAGGGCAGCGCCGGCTGCTAACCTCTCCCTCCCGGGGCAGGAATTGTCCGCTGCGCCTTTAACGGGTGTCGTTACACCGGGGGCTGAGCTGCAGGAAGAAACAGCCACCGCCGCCGCGCTTGGCGCCCTGGCGGCGGCTCCCCTCCGGCTCCCGGCGCTGCAGCCTGAGCCCCGGGAGAGGTGCCGCTAGAGGCAGCCGAAGGAAACCAATGTGGCCAAGGCGCCGCGTCTCCCCTGCGCGCTAGGAGAGCTCCGGCCGCCGGGGCGCAGCGGGCTTGGAGAGCGGCGGCCTCGGGCAGGTGCGGGACTCGCGGCTCGGCGGCAGGAGCCCCGGGGAGATGGCGAAAGCCTCACGCCCAGGTGAGCTGCCCGAGGAGGTGGGGGCGGGTTTGGCCGAGCGGGGAGGCGCAGGTGCTGGCGGGGCGGGGGGGAAGGAAGCGCCAAACTCAGGGAACGCCCGGGCGCTGCGGGAGGCTGCAGCGCCGGGGCGCTCTGTGCGCCCAAGCGCATGGGGCCGCTGCCCCTTTGGGGGCGCAGAGTGCGCGGTCTGCATGCCAGGGGCCCGCACCTGGGTGGGCGCTCGGGGCCGGGGTGTGTGACTCCGGTGCAGCGCTCCGGCTCGGTCTGGCGCTTGCGGCTGGGGATGGTTTGGGCACATGCCTCCAGGGTGCGAGCTCCTTGTTAGTTCGCCAGACGGCGGGCTCGCTTGAGGGGAGCTTCTGGTTTCTTCTCCTGAAGCGGGCGTTTGAATGCATCGCATTGCTCCCGGCTGTGGGGTGGGGGCAGCTGCGTGTCCATTTTCCCCAATGCACGTCTCCAAATTGCGGTGCTCGGCCATCTGATTCCTAGCTGTGGTTTTGCAGGAGTCAGGGCTCCAGGCAGAGTTTTATTACACGACTAGCTCCCTTTGTAGCATTCCCCCCTCCGGTTTTGCCTTGTCATATTGCCCCACCAGGACAGAAATCTCTTGCAAGTCACGTAGTGTTAACTTGCATGGTTTCTGGTAGCATGCACCTTCTCCTGGGATCTAGCCAGCCATTACTTCCATAGGCAGCTAGCCTGACCATTCTCTTGTATACATAGAGCTATGAAGCCCTTTTCCTAGGTGCAAAGACACACACAAACTTTTCCGTGAATGGAAACGCCGCTTAAGTTGCTCCTGTTTTTCCCAGCAAAGTTTATTTGGACTCCCAAGAGGCTGTTTCCTCTTGATCGGTGCCTTTAGTATTTAGCTGAAAGCCTCGCATGTGGTTTTCATTCATCTTTACACTTCATTGTTGAAAATCTTGAGTACGGCTTCTTTTGGGGGATGGGAGGGGGAAGAATCTGAGAGGGAGTGCAAGGATCAACGGCTATATCGCTTGAGATCCACTTTTTTAATTTAGACTGGCTTCCTAAATGATTTCTGCTCCACCATGACTTCCTTTATTTATTTTCTACCCCCTTGCTGAAAAGGGGGAAAGAGTGAGTGAAGTAGAAGCAGCTTTTTGAAATCGGTTTTTAAGAGATCTGGAAGGAAACCCTGCTTTTTGAGAATAATACCACTTTATACATTTTCTATCCTCAGTGAAACTGGTGCCTCTCCCTACCTAGACTTACTAAGCTAACCCGTGTATTCAGAAAAGGCTTGCAGGACAAAGTGCTGATTCTTTATCTGTCAAGAGGCAAAGAGATGGGGCAGGTGCTGGGGTGGTTTTTTTTTTTTTTTGGTTTTTGTTTTGGTTTATCTTGTAAATTTTATCTTTCTTCCTCCCCCGCACATCCCATTGGATTGGATTACCCATCGAATGGATTTAGAAACATGCATGTACCACTAGATTGTGTGTTGCAGGGATCAATTTAGGAATGCTCCACTAGGTATCAGCTGCTGAAAATGCATTGGGAAAGAGCACTGAAATGAGACAAGGCAGGTGGTGCAATGCACTTGATGATGATGCTGCCTTCTAGTGGTTTTTCAGCAGAGAAGATAAGGAACCTATGAGGATTACCAGGAAAAGGTGATTTCTTCTAGCTCCTGTGGAGAGAGGCCTGTGTTTTTGAAGGCAAAAGGCCTGACTTCACTTGGACTAAAAACCAGGCTTGCAGCAATGTCTGTGTGTGCCAGACTTGTCTGGTATTTGTGACCACTGTTGTCTGCAAATGGATTCGTTACAGAGGGGAGGACACCTTTCTCCATCTCAGATTTCAAAGGGACACTGTCATCTTTATAAACAAAAGCAAATGTCTTTAGCTTGCAGGAGAAAAATCACATTGGGCAGATGGCAGCCCCTGAGAAATGATGCCCTTGAAATAGAGAACAGTAATAATCAACCAAAATGCAAACATGCAATTAAACAAAACAAACTTATTAAACCAAAAGGAGATAATTGTTTGAAAGAGTGGAAAAAAAATCCAGTTGACCTTCTCATACATTGATTTGCATTTCTTTCCCCTTTCACAATGAAAATTGGGAAAGTCTTTCACTGATGTTTGGGCTGCATTCACTGCAGGGATTTGCTTATTTGTTTAAACTCAGCTAGGTTTGCACAGAATTTTAAAAGATTATAAATGAAGGTTACATTTTTATTGATCTTGGAGTTTAAACAAAATATAACTTTTATGCCAAATTTAAGAGGCTGGTGCCCCCCCCTTTTTTTATTTTAAAGAGGCATTAAAAAAATCAATAACCTATCCATAGGGACTGTTCCAGAGCTACCTGTGTGAGGAGCAATGGAAATGAGCTACATTTTAGAAATCTTGCTGAGCCTATCGGTATGAACAGAAATTATGCAAATGTACCGAAATGTGCGTGTGACTTGCTTGTACCTTACCTGCATGGCAATCGCTGTTTCCTGGTGTCGAGCCATCTCAGATCTGAGACTTCATTGCAAACACAGGGGAAATGACCTTTCCAAGGCCACTGCTTTCAATTCCTAGCATGGTAGGGGTTCAGGTCCACCCACTCATGCATTTGATCAGAATATCAAACTACATGTGAGATCATGGTGGGAGGGAGAATGAGTTTTGGAGGTGCAGACTCAGTCTGTTGCTTGCCTAGGCTGCATCAGTAAAAGGTGCGACTTGATTTTTTTTTTTTTAAATTGATTGGGAGTTCTGACTTAGGGGTGGGTTCTTCAGATGCTGAGCAATTGGAGTGAGGCCCTAATCCTGCAAATACTCAGGCATGTGTCTCCCCGGGGGCATGTGCTTCAGCATGTGCAGATTGGAGCCTAGGATTTTCGGGATCCGGGCCCATGAGTGCAGAGAGCACGACAGCAATTGCAGCACACTTACTGCCTGTCGTCCTCCCTTTCTGCATCACTCTCCAGCATGCTGCCGTGACTCCAATGTTCACTCCTACCCAGAAAACTAAATACAGGTACTTTGTGGTGAAAGCTGGGTACTTTAAAGATGGCGCAGGCAGCCCAACCTGTTGAATATTCTCTGACCTTTTCGTATCTTCTATGGATTTGGGGAGAGAGAGTCGGAGGAGGCGGTGGTGCTGGCTGAGAGGATGGTGAAATGAATTCTACTGTGGGGGAGTCACTGTCTAAGGATTCAAGAAGCAGATCTAGGATATATACCACATTTGAGAGAAACTGTGGAAAAGTTCAGTCTGTGATTCGCAGCTTAGCTTGTCATCTCTGTCCTCCCTCCCACCCCCCGGTGCCACTAGACACCATAGGGTGCAAGAGCAAAAATGTCAATTGTTGCTTAAAATAGTAGCTCACAGGCAGATGTGGATGTTTTTGTTTTCTATACTTGTTCAGCAAATGTATGCTGGCCTGTTTACACCATCTGCTGCAAAATTGCCAGTCGAAGGAAGTATGGGAGATAGCCAGGGACAAGTCATTGTTGAAATGTTATTAGAGGGAAAACATTGGGTCCAATGGGAAAAGACTGTGATAGCCCAAAATACTGAGGGTGGTGGTGATGAGGAACAGCTGCATCTTGCACTCTTTCGAGCCCTAGGTAGTGTTTTGTCACCGTTCCGCTACATCAGTGGTTCTCAACCAGGGGTACATCAAGATATTTGCTTAGTTTTATGACAGGCTGCATAAAAAGCACTGGCAAAGTCTGTACAAACTAAAATTTCATACAGACACTGGCTTGTTTTGTTCTGTTCTATATACTATATGCTGAAATATAAGTACATATTTTATATTCTAATTGGTTTATTTAATTAATTACATGTAAACATGAGAGAGCATGCAATTTGTCAGTAATAGTGTGCTGTGACACTTGTATGTTACGTCTGATTTTATAAGCAACTAGTTTTTAAGTGAGGTAGAACTTGGGGTATGCAAAACAAATCAGACTCCTGAAAGGGATACAGTAGTCTGGAAAGGTTGAGAGCCACTGTTCTACAGGGTAGCCCTTCTGGCTGAGTCTGACTATCTTAATTTGTCTTATGCTCTCTACCGCCTTTGACAGAGCCAACCATACTCTTAGCTTCAGCAGCAGTGGGCTCCCCTGGTTCTCCTCTTAGTTTGATGACTTTCTTCAGATGCTGCTGCTCCTCCTCTTCCTCTTCAGTTCCCCTTCCCAATCTGATGGCTGTCAAGGCTTGGTCCTTGATTTTCTTAATCTGCTCCCTTGGCTTCAACTTCTACTTCTGTCCAGAAGATGGTTCCAAAGTCAACTCCTGTCCCTGACATCTCCTCCTCTGTCTGGTATCACATCCCCTGATGTCTCTGTTGTGTGTCCCAAGGCTTTCTTGAGCTCAGTCTTTCAAAAATGGGACTCCTTACTTTTGCCATAACCCCCTCCCCTCTGGTTTCCTTCTCTCTCATTGCTGACAACTCTGCTAGTCTTCTGGACTCGGTGTCCTCTTTGACTCTTTCCTCTTCCCTTCTTCTCCCATCTCCCCAAATATCCAGTCTCTCTTTCCAAACACTGCCTCAGCATCCCCCAAACCCACGCGTCTGTCTTTACACCACCCCTCACCCCCTTGTCTGGACTTTGACCATCTCTTGGCTGGATTACTGTAACTTCCTTCCTGGTTTTCCCTATCTGCCATGGTTATGGTCCACATCCTCTTCTGTCACCGTGGCCATGTCCTCCTCTAATCATCTACCTAAATTTGTCAGTCACTGTGTTGCATACAGGCTCCTTGTCCTAACCTTTAAAGCCTTATGTGATATTGCATAATGGATCCTTTCTGGCTTCCTCCCCTTTCCCCATTCAGCCTTGCCTCACTGCTCCTTTTTGTCTCTTTAATACACTTGGCTTCTTGTCCTTCATTCTGTTGCCTGCTATGCTAGGAACATTCTCCCACCTCTTGTCTGCCAAGCTCCGACTCCCTCTTGTCCTTTTAAAATTTCTTCATTGTAAACCCCTACTTCCAGGAGATGCTTCCTTCCTTGTGTCCTCCCTTCACC